GTCTTACACTGCTAAATTAGGGACGGCTAGCGCAGATAGCTCTCGTGTAGCTTTAGCGCGAAATTCAAAACAAAACAAACAAACAAGCCATGATAATTAATACTAATTAATATTTAATGTTAACGTATTGTTTGTTTATTTGAGCATAGCCGTCCCTGATTTTGAGCTGATGCTAGTCAGGATGCTAGTCAATAGCAACCATATTCACTTCTTGTGTGAACAAATGATGAGATCTGATTGTCACTACTGTAACACACCGACGACCTCAAAGTGCAAAGCACTGTTTTGCACAACGAGCCGAGAACCATGAATCCTCAAATCGACAGTCCGCGAACATTAATCGTTTGGCCACATCCGGACCGAGTGTTAATAGAAGATTTATGGTTTTAAAATGTTCTCTAAAAGTTTGGGTTGTCCAACATATTAATGGTTAAATTTTAACACCGTATGAGATAGACGACGTTTCGTTTAATACAAGTGATCTATTTTTACGGAGGTTTTATTTTTCTCGGAAAAAGTGTCAGTAGTTTTTATGAACTTGCAGGTCTTACAACGAACAATATTAAAAAGTTCATGCAATTTGATATAATGATTAGCGTCTCAACCATTACTGCCCCTGTCGTATTCCAGCAGCCTGATGAACTCTGGTATTGACGAAATGCTTTGTCGACACTGGATATAGCTAATAATAGAGTATGGTTGACATATTACTATACATTCTTCTTTACTTTTACTCTTAATTTCTTAGAATATCAAACTCAGAGTTTCTGTAGTTTATTTGATTTATAGTTTGTTTCAATACTTATGAATGTTTTTTTTTTACAGATTATATGTAATATTTCGCTTAGTGTGGACAGGGTACAATCTTTTATATAGTATATAGGAGTTCAGTATATAGAAGGCTGTGTAGGAGGAGCTTATGTGTGTGTGTAGGAGGAAAGTTGTCAAGCGTAAACTTATTAATTTTGTGAAAGGAGTTAGCATATGAAAAGATTCAAGATCAATTATTCAAATAAAGAATATGCTATCATTGTTACTTTTCCAGGTGTACGATTCTACAGTGATTTTTCTAAGACTTGTCTTTAACTGTAAACCATAAATATCTCATGAAAATTAGGAGCAATATTAGTATCCATAAAGTAACTGTTAATTTGAATTTAATGCTCGTTATTGAGTTTAATGCTATTCAATTGCAAAACAAGTCAGGTTATGTCAAGGAAAATGTGATTTAAAGACGGATTAGATAAACAAAATACAGTTTCTAAAACGTCAATACATTCATTACGTTAAATGCTACTAAGAAGGGAGAAACCTCCACAGTGCAGAAAAGACTGTTGGAAGGCAATGATCAGTAATCGTTAATTTATTCGATTATATTTATAAAATGCATTGTTTCTTTTACGTAGGAAGGAAAAATTTAGTAGTGATGTAATTTGTGTGACTGTTAGCATGAGCAGATGATTTGTGTTAGACGCTACTGTTTTTTTTCTATTATTATTATTAGGAATTACGGGACGGTCTAGATCATGATGGTAATGGGAAAAATCTTTCTGGGTGAGACTGTTTAGATGTCATGTACTCGAAGGTGTTTTTGTTGATTTGTTTATTTTGAATGAATGACTTAAGTTTGTATTTGGTAGTACTTGTAAGCTGTTTTGAACAATCCCGTGTTAGTGTTTTTGTAGAAATTAATCACAGCTTTATTTAAGGTGGCTTCAGTAATGTAGCCTTTGTTGTTACGAGTATTAACAGCCCCACCTTTGTAAGAAGCTTCTATTAATAATGTTTGTATAATGTTTGTATCAGATATAAGGTTTATAATGGTATTTATTTTGTGTGAATTGAGGTTATTATGAGCGGATTTCAGTGACTTCAAAGCTTGGACCAGAACTTATTCAGGAGCTTTAATTTAACTCTGTTAATTGTTGTCAGACATTAAATGTTTCTTTACGAGTTTGATTGTAACTTTTTCAGCTTCAGACAGAAAAATGAATAAGTATCAGTACTAGCCTAAATTGCATGGCTGATTTTAACCCTTTATAATTTTTCCTAGAAGAAGTGTGTATAATAGTGTTTTAATCACACAATGACCGCCATATCCATTGCTGAAGATATGTTATGCTTATTACCAGTGCTTATCGGGGAGGCTGGGAAATGAAGGCGACAGACAACGAGACCTGGAACCCAATATTTTGTTTTAATGATATACATGAAAGTAAAGATTGCCTGCTTCACATATCTGGCAAAATTGTAAGTGAAAGCAGCCCTAGTAATTTTGGAAGTATAAACACACCACATATTATATTGATGTAATGTCGGAAAGAAGTTTTAAGTAAAACTCATAAGCACACAGTTTCTCTCTCTCTATATATATATGTATATATATATACATATATATCCTTTTTGTTTGGAGGGATGGGGAAACGATGCCATTTTAATGCGCTACTGTTTTTCTGGATTTCTTCGGATCAACATAAGAAATATTGTAGAATATAAATATACGAAAAACTAAGCCATACAGTCATTAAAGCCCAATAAAAATTCCTCTTTTATGGTGTCAGTTAATCAGCTCAGAACCTTACTGAAGGGCCTGTACGTAATTTCTGTTGGCTTGTCATCCCCTGTGGATATATATATATTAATTGCAATTCTTTTCTGGCAGCGATCCCATTCGGCTTTCTGACAAATACTTAAAATAAAAAAATCATGTAATACCTGAATGTAAAATCGACGATCTTTTTCACATATCCAAAATTGTATGTATAAAATTCATTTACTTTCAACAGTATGTTTGGTTCAAAAAATGACAACAGAATTATTTTGTTATGAATAAATTCATACTTTTATACGTATGTATGTGTGTTCAGAATAAAGAGCAAGAGAATAATTATTTCTATCTTTTTAAGATTTCAGGATACATAATATAAAATGATTCAAAACTACAAAAAGATACTTACTTATATATTCGTTTCCATTTAATGAGAAACATCCAAGTATTAAAGTACTTTTTTTCCATCTTTTTTTTCTGGGGGCAGTTTGGAGGTATTTGTTGTTATATATAAGAACTAAAAATGTAAAGTACTAACTATAATGAAAATATATTGTGAACTTGATGACATCTTTTAAATAGATACTGTGTATAGAATGTACATATGAAGTACTTGAAATATTACTATTTTATTATACTTATGAATACAACAGTCATACATTTCCAAAATCAGTACTTAGTTTAACTTATTAAATTTCGTTGCGTTCAAATGTACCATGTAAAAAAGTGATTAGCAGTGAACTTAGTACCTGTTGAAACTATAGCTTCTTGTGCATGCCGAAATAGAAAACGATTGCTTGCGCTGGTTTGTTGTCTGTGGATGATTATTTATTGATCGCGGGCTAGAGGAGACGACATCCTTTCTGATTTGACTACATAAGCATGGGTTGGTAGCGTGAAAGACTTAGTCAACTTGCCACTAACATGAAGTAAAGACTGTTGTCCACACTTTAGTCTTTCATAGTTGGTTGCCTTTCACACTTATTCTTCTGACCGATATTGGCATTAAACCATTTATCGCGCTATCAACTCGATATTTTTACTTCTGTGACCACGGCAAACATTCCAAAGACAGTAAGAATATCTTATAAAAAATTACAATGGCCATATTAAAGTCATGTTGCTGCTGGAGGTCTGTACGTCAAGGAAGTTTCGCAAGCGCTATCTTTACTTTGGTAAGTAGTTTCAGTTGCTAAGTAAGTAATTATGATTTGGAAAGCTTTCATTGTTATTATCGAAAGATTACATTTTTCTTAAGTTTAAAATAGTATGATAAAAATTTCGTCAAACGAAACACAAAATAATATATAATTTTTTATAGGTATTTTTTGTAGCTTATAATAATCATATCACAACATATCTGAACAAAAGCGTCATGTAATTGGTAGTAAAAACTAGGAGTAATGCGAAATAGCATTATTCATATCTCACAACGATTAATAAAAAATAACAACAACATAATAATCAAATTGTATGTGTGTATGTGTATATAAATTTGCACTTTAAAGCTTAAAATTAGCAAGCTGTAATGCGGAGTGAGATGTATTCATCCACTGAAAAAGCTGTGTGCGATATTTGTATCTGATGACAATTTCTCTAGGCATAAGATTGCCTGATTTTGCATGTATATGAAAATAAAAAAGTTGTCTCTATTTATGTTGGAATCTGCTGCCTTTCACGAATGCATTATCAAAGAGGTTTTCTTGAAGCAAGTGGGGTCTCATGAACTTCAGTTATTGGTCTTGTTTATTAACACAAGATAAACTGAGGATATTTATGAATATCATTATAGCCATGCTCACAGATAAGTAAACAAGGAATTAACTGAAAAACAAAGCAAAAAGTATTATACAAAATATCTTAGACACTCGCAATTTGAAATTTTTATAAAGAAAATGTTTATAAATTACGAGTGTCGTATGGTGAGCTTAATATATTCTGTGGGAAAGCTTAGTAAAATCAGAATTTTAGTTTTCCAACCATACGAATAACAGTGGTCTATTCCCGTATATATATATATATATATAAACGGACAAGTAAAATGTGACTGAATCTTTTCCTTAAATGTAAAATCTACATAATGATCATGTAACAGTTCGCATGCATGTCGTAATTGTCTCCATAAAATTTCTAGAAAAACAGCCAACCTGACCTTAGTCAAATTTCAACTGATTTATTGTATTTCACACTTGTAAGTAACCATTTTTAAGCTGTGTATATTGAATGCGTTCAGTTACAGCTCGGCGACAGTTCCAGATCCGTGAAAAGTACAAAAGTTCCAAAGATTTTCAGATTTATTAACTTTTTCGGTTACTGAAATCTTTAGTTCCTCAGATGTAACATTAAGAGGTATCGCGCAAAGTCTTCCTTTTATGAAAAAGTGTCTTTTACGCCATAAATAAAATAATATATATATTGTGCGTGTGAAGGGTCTACCTTTCAAAAGAGCTTCTTATTTTTTGTTTTTATAGGATTTTGACAGATACCACTAAGAGAGCCCATTAGTAGTCTGTTATTTCAAAGCAGTGTTTTACATATTATCATTCAACCATGTGACTAGTAAGTGTGGGTTAAGTCGTAAATGCTATCGTATACTTTTAAATTTAGTAGGGATAATATCAAAAGGTAAAAACTAATAAAAAATTACAGAGAATAAAAATACATACAACGTTTAATTTATTTAGTTTATTAGTTGAAACAACAACAATAATTTTTATGTATATTCTTCCTCAACATTTAATATTGAACTGGTGTGATAATTTGTAAAACGTCTCAGCCTAACCATAATTGAGTGGTACTGTTGCTACGATGACTCTAAAATGCCTTTCCTCAAATGTAGGTTTTATGTTTATAAGAACGATTTTCTGTTAGTTTTCTAGGTAGAACAATATTTTTACATTGATCAACACTTTTTTCCATATTGATAAGTCTTCTCTCACTATAATGAACGTAGCACGTATGTCAGTATCTATGTATGTAACCTAAACTCCTGGGCTATCTATTGAATGGAACCATAAACTAAAAGCCATAAAAATATCACGCTTTGGGTATTCAAGATTCAGACAATTAGAAAAATGAATGTGGTATGCGCAACAACCATTTTTTTTTTAAATAATAGAACATAATTTTGAATAAAAGTACTTTCCTCACAATACGAACACGACTTTCACTAGGACTGTACGCGAAAGTTTGATTATATCTTTATTGATGTAATTTTTAAATATAGTACTGAGAAACTGGATTCTTAAAAACTATTATTTTTGCAATAACGAGACCACTTTTAATATATAAAAACACTACAGTTTATATCAGTAAAATGTATGAGAATTTTGAGCTCTGTACATTGAATAATTTTGATGAGTTGCGTATGACTAAATAGAACAATTCGAACACTTTTTCCGTGCAGTACTTCCCAGCAAAAAACTAATTTTTTAGAAAATGTTCACTTTTCTAAATTTTTTTGAATGAGGTATGTATACTACAATTGGTAATGAATAGCACAAACATCCGCCTGAATGACGGCGTTTCTGCTAGTATACATCAACTGAGAAAGTTATTTATTTCTACTATTATATTAAGTTTAAATTATATGCCAAAGAATAAGCTGTTTATCCTACTTAGTTTCAAACTCGGATCAACCTTTTACTTCTAATTACTGTTTGATGTATTATATAGAAATTTCTTCTAATGCAAGTTATTGGCTTTACAATATACTGTGATATGGTTAGAGGTGAAAAAAGTAAATAGCAAAGAGGTGCTTAATTCAGTCAAGAAACTTTACTTGAAAATATAAATTACAATGTGAAGAAAATTCACAGTAATTTATGGTAAAACAAACAATGACATTTGACTCAGGAAATCAAAACACATTTGTTTTACAAATCAGGAAAAATGTATCCTTCTGTTTTTCCATATGTAAGATCAATACAGGAGTTATTTCGAGTTCAGAGTATCAAAATTATTTGGAAAAGGCTAAGAGGAATAACAAACGTTAATTGAAAAATATTTTTGAGAAATGGCATTCACAATATATGCATTTGCATGTAACAGAAAACAATAGCTTTCACAATAAGAACAATAGTACCACAAACATTTGTTTATATTTCTGGAGCATTATCAAAACAATTTCTATTAATTTAGTTTTGTATTTATCGAGCTATATCAAATTGAACTTAGTTTCAATATTACTTTTACGACAAGTAAAACTCCATCTTATTAAAAAGTTACTGTTCTCTTATCTTATTTAAAAAAACCTTTGTGTTTATACTTAACCTCTCTTAAGTAAAACTTATGTTATAAAGCGAAATATGTGGTGTGTGAGAGCGACGTAGTTGTTCTATTCGTAAAATGTATAAAATATGGTCCTTACTAAGGAATAATTTGTTGTTTATGGACGTTGCACAAAGGTACTCGAGGGCTACTTACACTAGCCGTTCCTAATTGTGAAGTGTTAGACTAGAAGAAAGGCAGCTAGTCAACACCACCAACTCATAGGCTACTTTTTTTTCCAACAAAGAATGGAATTGACCATCACAGTATAAAGCCCCACGGCTGAAAAGGAGACCATGTTCGGTGAATTGGTTTGAACCTCTTGGGAAAAAGAAAATCAGACGTGAATTTGTTATTAAAACTCACAAGATGTAATTTTTAAATGTACTATAAACAAATGGTTAATATTGTATACTAAAGTATGAGATTGTTCAGTTTTTGTCCTACAGAATTTGAACGTTCTAATTATTATACTAACTTGTTATGATTATAAATTCTAACGTATTTTGTTGGGTAATAGGCTTTAATGTTTCGTGATACAAATAACATGTAAAACCCGTATTTGTGTACTAATAGATACCACAATGTTTCATCCTTTAATTTGCTGTGCCGTGCAGCCTGTCTACTAATAGATACCACAGTGTTTCATCCTTTAATTTGCTGTGCCGTGCAGCCTGTCTACTAATAGATACCACAATGTTTCATCCTTTAATTTGCTGTGCCGTGCAGCCTGTCTTCTCAGCAGTTATTGTAGAATATTTTTTCGTCATATTTTTATTGTAATGTTTTATTATAAATAAAAATTTCTTTTAAAAAATGCTCTGTAAAATTCAGTATACAAGCCACTGTTTTACCGATTAAAATCAATAGAAACCAAAATGAGTTAAATTATTCTAAGATTAATAAAATATTAAGACACGAATGTGTTTTATCTAATTATTTAAACTCATATCTATTCTATCATAATAAATATCCTAAACTGCAGAAAAAATTAAGAGATAAAAAGTATTTTATTTGTAATTTAAACCAAAAGAATGACAAACATATTTATTACACACGGAAAACATAAAATAAGACGCCTTCAAAACATTTAACTTAATTCTAAAGACATTAAAGTTTCGAACTATATAATATGTATACGTATATATTTTCAATGAAAATAGAACTAGTTTATTGTGTGTTATTTATATATATATTTATATATATTGAAGATATTTATAATACAAATTTAAAATTTACATATCAAGATTATTTTCGTAATATTTCAAACTTCGTTCTTGGTGAACAGTTTTGTTTTAGTATTTTCGATCAATATAATATCGTATACGTAAGTCCTATAAATTTCTAAAACATGTATACCATTTCTGAAAACAAATCTAATAAACATATTTGTACTCTTGACTTATAAGAACAAGAAGAAGAACATGGAAACATTTGAACGCGTTTTTCTGTAGGTGAATAATAAATGACATATTTAATATCTATTACTATTTAGATGTCGACAATGCAGTATTTCTATTACTTTTTTACCATTCTCACTATCATTTGTCTGTGTCCTAAGAGCGAACTTTTAAGTTGTATTGTTTGTTTGTTTTTGAATTTCGCGCAAAGCTACACGAGGGCTATCTGCGCTAGCTGTCCCTAATTTAGCAGTGTAAGACTATAGGGAAGGCAGCTAGTCATCACCACCCACCGCCAACTCATGGGCTACTCTTTTACCAACGAATATAACGCCCTCACGGCTGAAAGAGCGAGCATGTTTGGTGTGACGGGGAGTCGAGCGCCCTAACTACCTGGTCATGCCGGGCCTTTACGTTGTATAAGTAATATATTTTTTACGAGGGTGGGAGGAATGGTTTAGCTGCTTTTATTGGTGGATTCCCATTTCACTAGAACATAGTACCAA